ATCATTTCATGGGTGACAGTTTGTTCTCCTTCAAGGTTGATCCAATCACGTTCATTTTTTGTTCGAAAAGAGAGTTTTACTTCTGCTCGCTAACCGTTTTTTCTTATCCGACCGGTTATTATAGAAGCGTGAACTATATCCTGTACAGGTTCTGTCTACCCGTTATGAAATTCATATGAAAATTCAGGTTCAATTGCTATGAGAGGAGCCCCAAAGATCCTAAATAAAAAGGATTTATTTATTTATTTAAAAGAATTTTGAGGTCCTTCGGGATCGGCGTGGCTCATAAACCAGAATCCAAAGTCGGAGGACGAATTGTGGAACCCAAAGGTCAGGTAGGATTGCCAGAACTGTCAACGATGGTCTGCAGCATACCATGCCAATACTGGGACACAATATATGTAGACGATACGAGCAAACGTCCTGGCACATGATCGCACGAGCACCAGCCGGCAAACAACCTCAAGGATAAGCTGTCTCTGGTCTGCGGTCACATGCACTAACAGAATCACAATTTCGTCCGTGAACAGTCCACGATGATCAATCGAGCTAATTATAATGCGACCAGACTGATGCCGAAAAGTTGGTCCTCGACCAGCGCCCTTAATCGACTCACAGAACTTCATTCTGTCTACCAGGCTCTGTGCATATGGCTCAAGTCAGCCCAGCGAAGCCCAACAGGAGGGGCAAAAAATGACACACGGCACTGACACCCGATATTTATGGAGAAAGGAGGAGGTAATGACCGGAAGACATATGCTCGGCATGGCCCACCATCTCGTCCACTGATGTTCATGCACGCGCTGAGACCTACTTTACAATTTGATTACAGTATAGTGCGTAGTGAACATTGCATGCGTTTTGTTAGATCAATGCTTTCTCACCCATAAGCCAATACTTTTATTAAGGTTTGACCCTAGGTGCGTAATGGGTCTCCGATTTGTACGCCATTTAAATTTATTGCGTTCTTCAATAACTTTCGCAAACTTCAGCCTCATTCTCAACTCGAGAATGAGTTCATCAGATTGTCGATTTTGGCGCGTGGTTTGAACTAAACGTTCCTTTTCATTTAAATAATCGTGTTATACTCATCAGCGCATTTGACAAGGTAGCCTGGAGAGATAATTTGGTTTTGTTCGATAACTTTAATTTTCGGAGCAACGTGTCAGTGTTCGATTACGTGGGCTGGTGACGATAACCATATGGCTGCTTTCAAAGTACAAGGAACCTATAATTTTACCATTTGGATTGATAGACAGAGTTTTCATCCGTCTGTCGCGTAGGAGGACAGATGTTGGTAGTAGTTTTTGACGATCCTTATGCTGATAATGAATTTTGAGGTATTAGTGTTGTAGGTCACTCCCAGTTGATCGTACTCATTTGCAAAAAACGACCGTAAATTTGGGTTTATTACTTGAAGGGACGTAGTTTCCAATCCCCACGTTGTAACTTCCGAAAAGGAGCCCGAGATAAGTGACCCAATAGGACGTTGCCCTAGTTGCTTGGTGTCAAAACCGAACAAAGGGAATGCCGGTTTTCTACGCACAAGACCATGAGTTAAAGTAAAACTGTTGTAGGAGCATTCGTGTAGAAGGACTAAGAAAGTGCTTCTCACTAATTCTGAAAAGGAAGACTTGATAACTTGGTCTAGTAAATTGGAAAAGTAGCAATTTCTCAGTGATAAGGACATGGTTGAATTATCATCGTTTCATTCTTGTGTGGTCCACGACCTAGGTTTGGATCATAGACCATTCAGACCTAGAGTTGGGTATGGCTATTATACACGGACATCCCAGTCTTCTCCATCTTTGTTGGGACTCTTTCTCTGTGCTTATTACTGACCTCTATGCTAGGAGCCGCGAGGGCTCGAAATTAAGATCTATAGCTCAATAAAAAGAGCAAGTCCCGTAGCCGAATAACTGAACGACCTCTGATCATTGCCTTTTCGAGCATTGTTTTACATTTCCCATGTGAGAGACAAGAGAGTCTTTTGAATACCAGTCTGGTGATTCTTTTGTGTTTTTCTCATTATAATATTTTTCAGGCTACCGTTTCTGCCCATTTTACATCCATATATCAATTAGGTCCGTGTCTGCATCCAATTTTTGAGTGCTTTCTATAGTTCAAACGAAGCGTATTTGCAGCTTCGTTTTGCGCGCCCCAATTCACATGACTTCTAACTTCTGCCTACCTAATACTTTATCACGAGATCTCTGCTGAGCTCTCCATCACAGGCTTAGATTTCCTACCTGTTCCAAACCTACGACAAGAACAGCAAAACTTTCAAGAGGCCCTCGCTTTCGAAAAAAATTCTCCACGTTTGCCTCTGGTCGGCGGCTGATTTTAGCAGTTCGCCTAGCGTTTCTTTAAACGCACCAAAATTAATCAACTATAAAAACGCGTCACTTTAGGCCTGTCCTCCACTTTGCTTTGTCGACGATGTCTGGCGTAAGTAGTATTCTCGTTTTTGAGTGCATTGATCTTGAAAATGGTCTAAATAATTAATCTCTTCTCAACCATCATCCCACCACATAATTTAAGCGTAATATAAATGTACTGTTTAATTACAGATTTCTGGTTTCTCGTTATTACCTTTAGGATCTACGCAAACAAACTTCGAAGTCAAAGGCCATTTACGAGAGGGAGAACAAGTACGGTGCCCACAACTATCATCCGATTGAGGTGGCCATTTGCAAGGGTGATGGTAAGATCCAAAGTTCAATTAAAACCCTCAATCTTCAGGTGCATTTGTCTGGGATGTGGAGGGCAACCAATACATCGACTTTCTAAGTGCTTACAGTGCTGTAAGCCAAGGCCATTGTCACCCAAAGGTTGTTGAAGCACTGATTGAACAAGCCAAGAAACTTACTCTTACATCCCGAGCCTTTTACAATGAGGTTTTGGGCGAGTATGAAAGCTACATCACAAAACTGTTCGGGTATGACAAGGTGTTGCCTATGAACACAGGTAGGTCAATGAAAATCTCAATCTATTCGCACGACCATTTTTGCGATCATGATTTCACTCAAAAAGGCTTAATCTTGCCATTATTCTTCAACCTCTAACCTCGTATGGTTTTCCGTCTCAGCACCAAGTTCTCTCTTAGATACCCATGTCAACGTCATCTTCGTTGACTATTTGACAAAGCATCAATCTCACTTTTATGCACTATAGCCGGTTAGGCCTAGGGAAATAGGACGCGTAAGTTAGTTAAAAACAGTTGCGCTCCTGCCAAGCAAGAGCTTGAAATGATCATTTCGAAATAATCTCCCACCTGCCAGAGGCACTACTTTATAGCCTGATTGTTTAACGGCGTCCTGTTATTTCGCTGCTCCGTCTCCCCTAAATATCCTCTTCCATTCGTTAGGGAGTCTTTTTTCATTCATCTAGAGTGAATTGTCTTCGGTGTTTTAAAAAATAGACGATATTTTGACCTCACGGTCCACCACCTGGATTAGAAAGGGTCCTGCGGCCCAGTGTGAAAAACGCAATCGCGAACACTCAAAATTATTCGCCAGCTCTTGGTTTTGACACTATTATTTGACAGGCGTGGAAGGTGGAGAAACTGCTCTTAAACTGGCTCGAAAGTGGGCATACAAGGTCAAGGGCATCCCCAAAAATGAAGCAAGAATCGTTTTCGCTGAGCAAAACTTCTGGGGCCGGACCCTTGCCGCTTGTTCGTCTTCAACTGACCCAAGTTGCTATGAGGATTATGGACCCTTCATGCCGGGCTTTGACATCGTACCTTACGATGATATTCCCGCCCTAGAGGTATGTTTTCTGTTTGTCCGCACTTTAGTAGCCGCGGTTCGACCGCAATATTCTTGGCCTTTATCCCTTAACACTACTGTGGTTTTCATTTTTGTAGGAAAAACTGAAGAATCCCAACACTTGCGCTTTCATGGTAGAGCCAATTCAGGGTGAGGCTGGCGTACGCGTGCCTTCTGATGGTTACCTTTCTCGTGTCAGGGAGTTGTGCACCAAATACAAAGTCCTCTTTATTGCCGATGAGGTTCAAACTGGTCTTGCTCGGACAGGACGGTAAGAGAGAACTTCAGTGGTTTCTTGTTGTTTGCTTGTACTTCAAAGAACCTTTTTCACTCTACCCCCTCCTCAAATGTATGCGTTTAAGTCCTTGCTCTTTGACAGTTCTATACGCCAATTATGTGTGTATATATTGACCAGACATTTCTCGTTTATGTTATTTTAAAATTTTTAGACGACTTTGTGTCGACCACGAAAACGTAAAGCCCGATATTGTCATTTTGGGCAAGGCTCTCTCTGGTGGCATCCTTCCTGTGCGTTTAAACTTTTTAAATGATCCTCCTTTACAGCTGTTTAAAGCCGAACCTGACTTCTCTTTTTACATTATCCACTTTTTGTTTAGGTGTCTGCAGTGCTCGCTAACGACGAGATCATGCTTACGATTAAGCCTGGTGAGCATGGGTCAACCTTTGGCGGAAACCCGCTTGCGTGCAAGGTTGCAATGGCCGCTCTTCAGGTACGCTGAGTTCGTCTTATTTATGGATATGCTGGCATTGGCATAGTTATGCACTGTTTACGCGATAAATGTTTTGCATTCGACTTTTTAGGTTATGGAAGAGGAGCACCTTGCAGAGAATGCCGAGAAAATGGGCAAATTATTCCGCGAGTCAATGGCCTCCCTACCAAAGTCCATCGTTCGTTGTGTTCGTGGAAAGGGCTTGTTGAATGCCCTTGTTATCGATCCAGGTATTTTCTTCCTCAACTTTAATGCTTATTTTTAAACCCCCTCTGATACTGTATGTTTGAGCGTTCGGTTTTTGCTCTTGCAGCCTACAATGCCATGGAAATCTGTCTTAAACTGCGTGATCACGGCATCCTCGCAAAACCAACACACGACTACATCATTCGATTTGCGCCACCCCCGGTCATAACTGAAGACCAGATGCGCCAAGCGTGTGCGACCATCCACAAGGTTATAGAAAGCTACGCTTAATTTCGGTTAAATTTTGAACCCTAAATTGTTGAAGACCAATGCAACTAAGCAGTTTGGATGAGTAAAACTAGCACTTTTTGTACCCCCTCCTTCAAATTCTTAATATATCCTCCCTCCTCTGTGTTGACTTTTAAATCAGAAAAATAAAGTAGGGATTCTCTGGCGCGATGCTGGACTCTGCGGTCGGACACCAGGCGAAACGCCAAGAATCACCCAGGCATCACTAAAGTTTGTCAATGATAATAGAGTTATCTATTACCATCTTTGGCTTTTGACAACACTGCGCCTGTTTCGGGACTTTGCTTGGAAGGCTTCTTATATGCCTCTATTGGATAATGCATCGCTTTTAAGTCTCAATATCGTTATCGTTTAGCAAAATCCTTAGCAAAGCAGGTTATTACAACACTAAAATTACTTCGCTCGCAGTCCGCTGTGTTGGGATATAGACCAGGGAAATTTTGCAGGCAAATGGGGTTCAAGACTTCTGTAAATGGGAGAACGATTCTTTAAATTCAGGTGGTATTGACATGCGGGTGGTTACAGTTATGTCCTTGAAGATTCCTCACTTACTAACGAAGGGTTTTTCTTCCACAAAGGACTTGCATCAGAACTGCTCTATTGCAATTTACATTTCCCAATCAAAAGACAGGCAGGCGAACCCCGCTGGACTGATTCGGCATCTCGGCAACCAGCTATGTAAGACATTTACTTTCTCAAGGAGAGTGGTCTCAAAGCGCGAAAGAAAACCAAACCCGGTCACAGGCAACAATCGTTTAGCTGATATTGGCAGTTCTTCCTGTTGGATTACTTAATGGCATTTGTAGAAAATCTATAAAGCCATGGTGGCACTAGCAATTATAACGTAGCTGCCACCAGATATTCCGGAATACTCCGCGCAATGCATAATTTTTCGGGAGTACTACCCCTGTAAATTTTTTTTGAGAAGTATCTTTGCATATATGCTTGACCAGTAAATGAGTGACAGTCTTACAGGAAGAGCACTAACCAGAGAAATCGATTTTCGGGCCTCGTATATCGATATCTTCGGTAGGTGTTTAAAGCTCAATTCTTAGTCACTCGGGAAGTTGATATCAGGTTGGCTGATTGTGAATTCTGGCAAAAAGTTTAAACTAGCAAGGGTATGAAAAAAAGCTCCCGTCCTCCAAACCACTGTGATCCTAACTCCCAACCAGTATGACAACTTGGAGAAGATTCCCAAGTCCAGTCATTCAGTGATCATAAAAAGAACGCCGTAGTTTTTATACACGAGGCAAAATTATTTTTGGCAGAGATAGTGATTACAACCATGCTATCGTTTCCTACGGATAGGAACTTTTGATGCTCACTTTCTATAAGCGGTTTAGCTATACAAATCACGGATTCTTGCATAGATCCCGATTACTGTTTGAG